TTTCCCTTGTGGGAGCTCTTGTAGGAGCCGTGAGTCTCTTCCTCTGCTTCCAGCTCTGCAGCCTGCAGGGGCAATGAGGACGTGCTCTTGAGAGGTTTTCACTGCCCCCAACCCCCCCTCACCTGCCCTTCCACACCTTGTAGGTAACCAGTTAAGTCCTCTCATCTGTTTAACTTTAACCCCTCCTGCTTTTCCTTGACATCGCCACAACCCAGAGTAGAGGGTCAGTCTAGATTAATTGTAGGTCACAGGACAACTAATTGGGCCAGTGTCATGTGAGTTTCCGTCACATAGCATTTGGGGGTATTCTCCCCCCTGTTTGGAGGGACTAACTTAACCCAAATCCCCTTGTCATCCTGGGTACAGCTGTTGCTCCAGGCAGGAATTTCTCTTCTAGATCTTAAATTTCATAGACCTCATTAGGTTACAGGGCCCTGAGAGTAGGTATACTTGAGGGAGTACAAGCTGTTTCAGCTTAGCCCTTTTCTGCACTAATTAGAATTTCAAGTGTCACAAAGCCCAGGGCATTCAAGATAGCACTAAACTAGGTTTAGTTAACTCCGTGGCAGGAAACACCGGCCCCCATCCAGCACTTCTGTGCACCCAGTGCCAGGGAGGACTGGAGCAACAGATCATATATGTCACAAGTCTAGAGTGGTTGGAATGGGCAAATATAATTAACTAATTGATTAATTAGGGTCATGTCTATACTTCCATGATAAAAGGGAAGCGATTTTTGGTTTTCAGCAAATCCATCGGAGTTCATTAAAGCTATTTGTTAGCTATTTTTAGATATTTGTGTGTTTGATCTTTATTTCTTGAGACCCAGGCTTAGTCAATACTCATTAAACTTGGCAGCCATAATCAATACACAAGTTTTTCTTAGCAACAATTGTCTACTCTTTAGGATAGAAGCATCAGAGGGTCCTGCTTCGTGCGTCAGCGAATTGTCCTTCTGTGCTATGGAAAGGACATTATGTTCTAAGGAGTGATTCGGGGTCAGGCCTACTGAGACTGAAGGCAAAGCTGATGAGGAAGAGAAAGCTCAGAAATATCTGAGCAACTACCCTTACCCTCATATCTCTGCTGGGATCTTCTCGTTGAGGAGCTGGGAGATCTTTTTTCCATATACATGTGGAATCGCTAAGAGGAGCCTCCCAGAGGACAGCAAGACAAGTTGCTGAAGGGGAATAGAGGGTAGACATAGTCACTTTTTTAAAAAATTAAAATATTTATTGAGATAGTTAATCCACATGCACTTGTAAGAAATAATACAGAGTGATCCTGTGTACCTTTACCAGTTTTCCTCAAAGGTAACATCTTGCAAAACTATACTATGCCATCATAACCAGGATTTTTTTTTCATGTTTACATCTTCTTTTTAATCACAAGTTGCCAACAGCACTTTATCAATCCCAATACTCGTTTCATTGTGTGTATTTAGCTCTGTACAGCTTTATCACATGTAGGTTCACGTATCCACCACCATGGTCAAGACACAGGACAGTTTTATCACTGCAAGAACCCCCTCAGGGACTACGCTTGTGGCCCAGTGGTTAAGAATCTGCCCTCCAATGCAGGGGACGCGGGTTCAATCCCTGCTCGGGGAACTAAGATCCCACATGCCGCGGGTCAACTAAGCCCATGCACTCTAGAGCCCGCACACCACAACTAGAGAGCCTGTGTGCCACAACTACTGAGCCCCACGTGCCACAGCAAGAGAGAAGCCCACACACCGCAAAGAAGAGCCCACGCGCCACAACTAAGACCTGATGCAGCCAAATAAATAAATAAATATTTTAAAAAAGAACCCCTCATATTGTTCTTTTATGTCCCTCCTGCAACCCCCTTCCCCTACCCTAACCCCTGGCAACACAAAGCTGTCGTCCTTTTCTAAAGGAGGACAGCAAGACAAGTTGCTGCAGAGGAATAGAGGGTAGACATAATATCTGTAATAATGACATTGTGTATATATATATATATATATATATATATATATATATATATATATTTTTTTTTTTTTTTTTTGGGTTGTGCGGCCTCTCACTGTTGTGGCCTCTCCCATTGTGGAGCACCAGCTCCGGATGCGCAGGCTTAGTGACCATGGCTCACGGGCCCAGCTGCTCCGCGGCATGTGAGATCTTCCCGGACCGGGGCACGAACCTGTGTCCCCTGCATCAGCAGGCGGACTCT